ATAATTGGGGAGTGGGGAGACAACCTTCATATACCAAACCAAGTCTTACTGCAGCTTAGGAAGCTATGCTGTGCATCCTATTATTATGCATATCCCCCATTGCAAAGGCTTAGCTTCATTTACGTTCACCGATGAAAAGTGAGTGGAAGCAAACATAAATCTTCAATCTGTCTGTAATCTTTTACAGTCTAACTCCTTTTACTTAATCTGTATCTTAACGTTTCGTCCTCTTCCTGAACAAATGAATAAAAAGCTTTTAAAATTAAAATAAACATTTCGTGGGAGAAAAGTGTTTGGTAGGAGAATGTTTGATACTAGAATGTGCACACGTTTTTATGAGCGGTTTTTATCCTGTCTTGCGTTCTTTAGATTTAATTTTAGATAATGCGCAGTAATGGAACGGGTGGCAGTGCTAGGATATTTGTCATATAATTTGTCATTTAATTTTTTAGCAGGAGGAAATACGTCAAGGAGTGGTGGATTATAAAAATATCAAGGGCACAATATAAGCAAACCTGAATCCAGATTTGTGTCTAAAGGATGATTCTTTGTATGCTTATTCAGAAATGAGATTCCCTGTTTTCATAGGGACTCGTCTCCAATTCCAGGAAAGTGTGGACACAAATGCATATTTAGCTTCTGATTCACAGCGTTCCCATAAGGTTCCCCTTTGTCCAACTTATGCCATTTTCATCATGTCATAGCAGTTCCTAAATGTCAGTGGAAAGAATATCTGCTATTAAAAAAATACCAAACTATGATTTAGGGCTAAGGGAGCTCAAACTCATCTTTCCTTTCCTCCTCTCCTTTTCTAACATTGGTCAAAGGTGATTAAAGGTTTCCATTTAGATTGATCCTAATTTAACTTGTCATTGGAATTTTTAACCAATAACTCATCTTAATTAGTGCTAGCTGAAATCGTGAATTGTAACTATTGGCTTATTTCACCTGAGATTCTCCACAATTTAATGCTTGGAATTTATATCAATATGCAGGTAAGATTTTAAAAAATGGCAGCAAAAGTTTCCAAACTCTTCTTTACTTTGGAAGAGGGGGATTTATGAGCAATTGCAAGATTCACTGCTGCTCATTCTTATGCCAAACCATAATAATCTCAGTATTATGTCCAAATGCAGCCTCCTGTTTTAAATCTAGAAGTATATGAATCCAACTAAGCTGGATGTTTATGATTTTATTTTGGGGAAAATATGAGGAAGATATTAATAGGATGAGTTTATCCCATTGTGCAAAAGTCATTATTTGCAAAAGTAATCACTGGAATAATAAGACCTTTGTGCCAGATGACTTTTCACATTGTTATGACTCTACAGGTTGTTCAGTCAAACATAATGTACACTTGTAAATGCTTCAGGTGCAGTAGTTGAAACTGAACATCATGTTACTTTCATGAAGGGAAGTATTTGCAATCAGATATATATATGCACATACAGAGCAGCTGTCAATCTAGATGCAGCAAGCATATGCTGATGAAGGATGAATAGGACACTTCCCTGTTTCTCAGGAACGGAATTGCCCCAAACCAATTCAAAGATATTTAATTTTCTGAATCAAGTCCAGCATCTTTATAGAATGGTAATGACATGTTTCTTGAATACGACAAACATCATCCAGACAGATTATCTTTCTGTTTACCTTCCTCTCTTTTAGTTTAAGAATTAAACAGAGGAGTTGTACATTTACTGGCAAGCCTACAACTATGAAGACTTGGAAGTAATACTGTTAATATGTACTTATACACCCTCATTTTTTGCATTTTGTCACTAGCATCTCTGGTTAAACTGGTTTTCAGGTTTCTGTAGTGTTTCCAGTAGTACTTCAAGCCCAAACTAGTTTTAAATTAACATTTTAGCAAGCAGTGGCTGCACATATCCAGCTGTTCAAATTTATATGCATCTACTTTTTATTATGCCATTGAAAAAAGCACAATACAAGACTATCCCCAACAAAGTCATTGCATGCTAGGCGTGACCTAAAGTAAGAGAAATAGATTTCTCTTTGTATTATTTTACAATCAGTTGTTTTAAGAACCACTCATGCATGGTTTCCATCCCTTAAGCCTCATTAGGATGACTTTTGCATACAGGGTCATGTGCCAGCTACATTTTATATTTTGTCATGTGCCTATTTTCAGAGCATTTGCAATTCCACTCAGTCTGTGTAGTTCCCAATAACGGTTAATTCCCTTTGCTCCCTGATGATCCAAGAGGCTTCTGCAGTTCCAAAATCACTGTTGTAAAGCCATCAGTTGGCCAGTCTGTTTCCTCTTGACTGTTGCAGCCCCACAATCATTTCCCTTAACAAGACCAGAGGAGAGATATTGAAACAGACTTAAGTAATGACCCATTTGCGCATTATATTTTTTAACTGGTATAATTTCAAGAAACTCTAGTATGTATTCTTGTTGCACTGTATGGATACTAAATTACTTTCTAGAATATGTCACCTTGAGCATTGTCAGAAAAAAAAAAACCCTATTTCAGTCACATTTAGAGCCATATCTTCTCTGAATGTTATTTTCTTGAGTCACCAACTACCTTTCTATTGATGTTTCATACATGCATGGAGAACTATATGTAATCACATCTTCCAGCATATCCCATGCATTTCAAATGGATACTGGCATTGAGAAATGGTCTTCCAATTTCTCCCGTATAGTTCTTGTCATTTGTCACAGACAGGTGCTGCTTATAGTAGATCTGCTGAGCATGGTCCTCAGATATGGGCTGAGTTCACGTATCTTGCTAAACAAGTCATACTCTGAGACTGCTTCTTAAATTAGATTAAGCAGCTATAAGAATCATTTTGTGATTAAAGTTAAGTTAGATGTTAGAATAACTTTATTGTCATTGTATAAGTACAAGTATTCCCAAGGATGGGAGACCTGTTTCTAAATCAATTGATTTGTTACTTGTGAGGTTGTTATAAGTCATACAGCACTTTAACGATACTGTTTTGTGGGTTGCTGTCTCAGCTCTTCCTCCAAAACCTTACATTTTTTCACTGTGGATAGAACTTGATTCCTAGTTATGCATTAGATACATAAATCCAATTTTCTTGGCAACAAAATGAAAAGGGCTTGCCATTATCTTCTTCAGAATGGTGTGTGTGTGTGTGTGTGTGTGTGTGTGTGTGTGTGTCTGCCATTATAACCTACTTCTAATTTACATTCTACCTTTTCATTATTATGCAAAATCATCTTGATGTTGCTGCCTAGATAGTGGAAAAATAAATGGAACCAAATAGACATATGCTGTTTTTGTTGTAATGGCAGTGGCAATACTTTGGACAAAATGACTAGTGAAGCTGTGCTGGAAAAGTGTGAGTCAAAAAGATTAACTTGACTAGTTGAATGTCTAACCGGCAGAAGCCACACAGTTATATTCAAAAGGTAGATTTGAACAAAACATGCCTTTCTTGTGGCAAAATAAGCATAAATGGTGGGCTCCTGATGAGCAGAAAGTTGAAAGGCTTAAAAAGAGGGCTCCAGTCACAGATGTTATTATTCATCATTATTTTTAATGTGATTCGTCTTTCATGCTATCAGCTTATTTTCTTAATAGCCCTCTCATTTTTATACATACTGTCACAAATGGGTTTTTATGGATGTTCAGAGAAATATTATAGGTATTGAAGAGTCTCAATGCTGATTAATGTTTACCAAGGTTCTGTGAAAAATAAGTCAAAGAGGTGTTTGTTCGTTTTTTACAGAATTGATAGCTACTAACTTAATAGCTGAAGCAATACTTTAAACAGATTAAGCGAACTCCCAGCTTGTAGCACATTCTCTTGCTATCTCAGTTCTCTGTAAAGTGGATATCAGATCTTCTGCCTTCTACCATTGGAGCACCATGTGTGAACCTCAACTTCCAGAATGTTCAGCAGTGGTCTTGCAAATTAAATTCTGGAAGTTAAAGTTCACACATTTGGATGGTTGTCAAGTTGCAGAAATCTGATGCATGAGACATCATGTGCGAAATAGTTTTGCTTCTGGAAAGATACATTTGATTGTTGTGAAATATATTTGATTGTTGCGAAGTGTATGAAATGGCCATGGAGACAAAGTCATGGGGAAGTGGGCAAGAACTTTAAGCATGCCCACCTGAGGCTTCTTTGATTTGTTTCCCAAAGAACAGATGGTCCTCAACTTATGGCTGATCGCTTAGTCATTCTTTGAAGTAACAATAGACCTTCGCATGGTTACTTATGATCCAGATTCTAAATTCTCACAATCACCACCCACACAGTCACATGATCACATTTTGGACCCTCAGCAGTTGGCACACATTTATCACCACTTGCAGCATCCTGTGGTCATGTGA